ATATAAATTTGAAAGAGGATACTGATAATAAAATAAATTATATATACTGTTTATTTTTTCATTATAGAACAAAGATAAATTTTATTTTGCAAATGCAGCGACCACAAATCTGTAGAATTTATCATTAAAGCGTTGCGGACAATTTTATGTGTTGGCAGCGTGACGAATGTAAAACAAAATACGATCACGCTATAATTCGTTACTATAATTCATTGTTTTTATATAAGTCCATCTGACATCTCAATTATGAATGTGAGAATATGACGCTTCATCAATGCAATCTTCGGTGAAAATTACTCGAAAGTATAAAGCAATTTCTCTAAGATTATATCGATGAAGGAAACATAAGGATGATGATTTTGATAATGTAGTATTGGATAATGTAGTATCTCTAAAGCCTAATCTACGAAGTGTTCGTTCTTTTCTATTTCTTGTTTATTACCTTACGTCTTTTCTTCATTCGTGACCATTTTATTGACAATTATGTTTTTTTTTTCACGTGTTTTTTGTCTCTTCCGAAATTTGTCAATTTTTATCTCAAGTGACAAAAAACGAAAAAACTAGAAGAGGCAAAAATATAAAGATAAAGTAAAAAAACGATATTTTTAACTTCGGAGAAAAGTATCAAATAAAAAATTACTTTCTTATTGTAAAAAATGGTATTTTTGACCAAATTACATAAAATTAATAAAAAAATATAGAATTTATGTTAAATATGTAGAAGAAGAAATAGAATTCATTTTTCTTGTTATTTCGATGCATTTTAATACTTTTGTCTTTATAATTTTATATTGAAGGAAATATATATGTATTATTGGCTGACGCAATTCTTGATGAATTGTTAATAGATCTGTTTGCGTTGCTTGCACTCTTTGCATTCAGCATCTCTGTGCTTTCTTTTTTTCAACATTCGAATTTTTTTATAATCATATCACTTTAAGTGCAAAATTTTTGAGAGATTTCAAGCACTGCGACAGACCTAAATGATCTAAAAAAAATATCCGAGTAAAAAACTGTCAAAGCCGAAAAAAAACCATTAATTTCCGAGTTTTTTATCCTAAAATTCTAGTATTTTTCCGTCATTTATATCTCTAGACAAAAAGGAAACAAATCGCACATTATAGATTAGACTTAAAACATTAAGAGAAAAGAAAGCGAAAAGAATAATCTGCTTCCATTTGTTCTTCAAGGAAGTTATCGGAAATTGCCAATATATCAATGTTCATACATGCATTCAAAGTTTGCTTTCAATTGTGATTAATTGTTTATTCTACAATAATGCAATCATTAGTTTAATAAGAGAATATATAGAGTTACGTGAAAAAAAAAGAAGAGAAATCTAAAGGCAATATGAATTCATTTTATTATAAATCTAATTACTATATTATTATCTCACTGTTTTTCACGCCTCGCCAGTCCTCTAACGATCTGTTGTATATCGAAGGTTATTATCTCATTTATCAAGCGCCCGAGCGATGAATTAAACTGCTCGCTATTTGCAATTCATATTAGCATACGCTACCGTCGACAGGTCATTCGACCGTGATTCCCATCCCGAGGAACGTTCAGCTAGGTACTGATCTAGATCCTATAAGTGCGCTTTGCGTAGAAATTAATTGAGAAATGGTTCCTCGGCGATGACGTCGATGCGACTACACTTGCTGTCAGTCGGCGAAGGTATCTAAGCCCGCAAGAAGTGCCGCTATGTCCCACATAAGAGTCGAGGCGGCGGAGGATGATTCTGGGACAACCGACCGACGCGTTCGTATTACGTACCTTCCGGGTCTGGTTTACGATTGTTTTTTTTCGGGCTTTTAAACCTGACATTTTCAACGGACTTCAATATATTTCAGTGTTTTTGTTTATTAAGGAAAGAAGAATATGTATAGATTTTGTATAAATTGCTTTGATGTGACGAGCATATAAGCATTTCGAGAAATTTCGTGAATGAGTTGTTTTAAAAAATGATCTTATTTATGATAAAATTGTTAAAGCAATTTCTTATTTTTAATTTTTCTAATTTAATTTCTTATTTTTAATTTATCTAACTTAATTTTTTGAAGAAAATTAATTTAGATTAATTTAAAATAAAAAATAAATTTAATTTTAATTAAAGTTAGATAAATTAAAAAAATAAGAAATTTAAATAAGAAATTAAGTTAGATAAATTTAAGTTTAGAAGTTAGAATAAATATTTTATATTACCTCCGCACAAGAAGATGACAAGCAGAATCGCAAAGCATTGAATGAACATTTTCCTATTAAAATTACTTTCGGAATTATAATCATATGAGTATGTTAGAAGTAAGTGAAAAAATGAGAAGATTTACGAGCGGCTCTTTTGCTACTAAAAGCCATGACTTGTCCTTTCTCTGCTTATTATTCTACTTCAAGAGCGCAGATGGTGGTTGAACCACTTAACTCGTAATTCAGCATATCCTTATTGGTTGAGATAACGTGTCCGCATTTTTGCCGTTGTTATAAAGAAAAAAAACCTATGATTATGAACGAGTGCCATGAACGTTACATAAATTTTTTGTAGAGTTATTCCAGAGTGATTTCAAAGTTGCAGTCCGCGTGACAAGACGGAAACAAATGTTTTTTCGCGAACATCAGGAATCATCTAATTATGCATTACGACGCGATAAGTGGATCACTGGCACGGACTGAAAATTGCTAGTGTCATTAGACTAGATCCACGATGTCTTTGTCAATCGGGAGATATTTCCTCACACGTTGGTTCTTCTCCTAATTCCTCGGATTCTGATCCAAATTGAAAATATCGTTTTTCGACTTCGGCATCTGTCATTTGGAATATGCTCTTCTTTGTTGCCGAAACATCGCATTCTAAGCTTTTAGGAAAAACTACTTCCTGAATTAACTATCAATTAGTATCACGCATCGCCTCATCATCGATAGTGCGAACCCTTCATTATGTTGTCAGAATGTGTGCAGAATGTAAAATATGAACTGGAACAAAGTTGTTCGATATTATTACTTAACATTTATTTGACTCAGTTCTTGTTGATAACGCTTTATCATCTAATTCGAATTTTTCACAAACTTATTATTTATTTAAATAATTTATGATGTAATGATAAAAAGAAGAAATTTCCGTATGTGATACTAATGTGTGTAATTCCATACGTGATTTTGTTAAATGCACAAAAAGGAAAGCTCTTTATTTTTCTTTATTTTTTACATATTTTTCAATATTAAACTATTATTAAAATTTTTTACTTTTATAATTTATATGTAAAAATTTGAAATATAATTTTTGGCAGCTATTTGAAAATTTTAAGGCTTGATTATCTCGATAACAACATTTACTGTTAAAAACATAATAATAGAAGTAGAAGTATAAAATAATTCTTCAAATAATAGTACATTAATCAGTTATAAAAAATCACTGTATTACTGAAATAATAATAGCAATTGTTTTTTTTACAGCAGAGAAACATATCATTATTTCAGAAATTATTTTACATTTCGCGTGACAGATATCGGACAGATGTTTCAATTTACCACATTTTACAGGATTCAGAATTACATTTTTATTGAATTACATGTTTTTGAAAGAAAACTAAAAAATAAAACTGTATGTAACAGTTAATCTAATATCATATAATATGATGTCTCGAGATAACTGAGCCTTATTCTCGTTTTAATTAATATTATACTGAAAATATCAATAAATATTTTTTAATCAAGATGGACGCATTCCGTCAATTCTATCTAGAGCATTGCGATTTATAGCACATGACAATAAAATGAATATTATAACAGTACATAGATATTGATATTGATATCAACATTCACACTCGTGAAAGTTCGGTTATTCACTTTTCTTCCTGATTCAATACTAATATCGACTTCCTGCTCTAGTTTGATGTCGCCGTAATTTCGCATGTAATTACGTCATGCCTGATTTATTTAAATCAGTTTGTCTTCTACTCCTTGATTTTATGATTTGTTCAAAGAGAGTGTTCTCAGAATCATAAATGCGTCTACGCTCGAAATATGCCATTGTTCTCAGTCTCTTTTATATAAATGGGATTCTCTAAAGATTTTTTTTCAAATTAAAGATTTTTTTTCAATTAAAAAAAACAGTGTGCAAATTACGTAATTGTTATACTTAAGGCATAATTAATAATGACATAATTATTATTACGTAATTATTATTTATAATTATTCTATATTGTGTCATTTTGGATTAAAATAATGATTACGAAATAAATGTTAAAAATTTATGTCCTTTAATACGCATGTTTTAATATGACTGGATTTTTACTTATTTAAAGTGTTTCTTTAAGAGCACTTGGAATATTTAATAAAACATAAATTATTGGAACAATATATATTTTGTATTTTTTTGAATACACTATGGTTCAGTTTTTTATTTATGGTTAACTTGTAATTAGACTTAACTTGTTTTATCCAATGGGTTTCATGATGACACCCAATGGGTGTCATTAATGAAATCTATTGGCTTGGATAAAACATCAAATTAAGTTTAACCACAAGTTAACCAGCAAATGAAAAACTGGACCTAAGCTCATTTTTTTAAATACTTTTTTATAATTTCGAAATTTCTTAACCTATTACCTCAATCAAATTACCCCCACTTTATCCTATCTCAGGCTTAATCTTCACAGGAAAAAGATTGAATTAGAATTCGTGCCCTTTCACCCCCCTCCTCCCAATCCACCGGATACGGGACCGCTGCGGAGATATTTGAGAGATACCGTATCGCGAGGTGCACCGTACGTCAAGTTCACCCACTTCGCGCATCGATCGTCGTCGGCAATGGAAAGAGCCTTTCGCTTAGCATACACGTTGGTATCGAGCAGTAACAACGACAGGCGAAGGTTGTTCAACTCGGGCGGATCTCGTAGCACCGTCGAGAATAACGGGTCCTAAGGCCCGCGAACGTCGGCCAGGCGCGCTCCACCTTCGTTCGGCTTGCCTCCTCACGGTTAGAACGCGCGTACAGCGTACCCTCTTCCTCGGCCCGCTACGAACCTTCTCCAACCTTCTCCAACTTGGGTACGCAAGCACGACTTGTCGGGCAGCCAGTCAGCCGTGCACCATTGTCGAAAGATCGTCCGGGTAGTCGACACGCGTCTTCCGACACTCTTCTTCGCTTCAGTCCGCTTTGTCCGGTTTCGCGACATTCCGGTCTCTTCCTCTTCTTTTCGCGAATTTACGAATATCGCGATACTCGGTCAGATTAGTTCATTCTAAGCGTTTCTTTCATTCTAGTTTCTTTCGGCGGTATTTTTTTTTTTCTTCCGAATAGGTGGTCGTCGAGAACCTAAACGTGCGGATTCGGACGAATTCGGTGGTGCACCGAAAAACTATTTCGCGTATTTTCTCGATCGTGCGCTCCGCGAAATCGTCGGGTGTGTGTGTAGCGATCGCGTTTGAAGTGATTCGATGCTTCATCAAATTAATTGAGATATAGGTAAGATTGATAATTCGTGATAATCATTATATACGCTTTGTTGATTTTTTAATCAATCATATGAATTTGTTAAAATGTTTGTTTTTATCGTTAATTATTTAATGATAAGTATTTTGCACGTAATTATTTAAAAGATATTATATAAATAGAACAAAAATTTGCTTGTTCTTTCTTATAAATATCTAAATACAGATATGCAATTAATGAATAAAAATAGTATGTGATATTTAAAATATGATATTCATAATATCTCTATTTCTTTTTAGCAAATGATGATAATTTCGATTTATATTTCCTCTCAATTTTTTTAGCCAAATATTAATTATTAACTAAATAAAGTTTTGCCAGCTCGTGCATTAATTTAATAACTTTTTTTAACAAAATATTAATTGTAAATGCATTTTAATATGCATTTTGACTGTCTAAACAAGTATCTTAAATGTAATATTACGATATTATAATTTTTTTTAAATGACAAAAGACACAAAAATTACGGAATTTATTCGAAATAATTAATAATCAATTTCCGCATTCGTCATTATATAACGGTAACGAATTTTACTTAATGCGCGAAGAAATTATCCTGTTGTAATGTATGAGAAATGTAAATTTCTCGAGATATATTATGAGATGTTGGAAACAAAAACGAACAGAAGCATCATACGGTCCAGGTTCGAGATATGATACCGCTGATAAATTACTTGTATCTGTTTCATTGCGCTACAACTTGCAGTCACTTCCTCGTGAAGAGCTCACTGCTCTTCTTCCTGTTTCTCTTTTTTTGCATCATTACGTTACGTTACGCTTGTTGAATTGTGTTGCACGGTTATCTTACCATATTGTCTCATTAGACGATTAAAGGTAATAGGAGCATTTTTCAAATTTATGCGCCACGCTCCAAAAGAGATCTGAAAATGAGTGGACAGATTATTCTAATATATTAGGTGGCCTATTTCTACCGAATCAATTGATTGTTGAAGATGATAGGATCGAATATGAAGTTGAATAATTTTGAACATTTAAGATCTCTTCAGCGTTAAAATTTTTATAAATTTAAATAATTAAATTAATATGTTTGTTTAT